GGGGGGGGGGGCGGTGCAAGTGGGCGGGAGCAGCACAGGCCCCAGTGAGCAGAGCTGGCCTTCCTACAGGCCACAAAGCTTCAGGCTGGAGAGGCCCAACCTCCTCGCCCTGCATCCCTACCTCCGCGCGGTACGGCAGGAAGATGGCGCTGGCGAGGTTGCCGGTGATGCCGCTCAGGATGAAGATGATGGAGATGCGGTGCCAGCCGGCCAGCTTCTCCAGGTCCCGTAGGATGGTCATTTGGAAGACCACGGACACCAGGCAGTGCACGACACTGGGGCGGGGACACACCAGGCATGGGCCTTCCTGCGTGGGCCCGCGGCTGCCGCCAGCATCGGGTTGGGCCAGTGGTGCCCTGGCCCAGGCGCCCTTCCTCAGGGGCCCAGGAGGGCAGCCACTACAGGGTCCCCATGGCAGACGGTGGCACGAGGCACCTCTTACCCAGCATGCAGGAACAGAGACAGCCAGAGCCGGTAGAACTGATCGGGGACCTCGGGGTTGAGGAAGGGCAGCAGCCCACACACGTTGTCCAAGCAGTGCACCTGGGGAAGACAGTGCACGGTGGTCAGGGCCCCTGGGAGGCACACACTGCAGCAGCAAATGCCCAAGACCCGACCCCAGCACCGCCGCCCCGGCTCCTTGGGCCAGGCTGGAAGCCTTGCTCCCCACCTAGGGCCCCCCGCCAGGCCTTAGCTCACCTGGGAACAGAGCGTGGCTTCTTCGTGGAAATAGCCGTGCATGAACTCACAGTATTCCCGGGTGGTGATTTCACAGCTGGGGTAGGGCAGGAGAAAGGGGGACGTCAGGCCCTGAGGACCCCCTGCCTCTGCCCACCTCGCCCCCAGCCCAACACCTGGCCATGGCAGGCACCCCTGGAAGAAGTGGGGGCCCCTCTGCAGAGAACCCGACTCTGGGGAAGCTTCCCTTCCAGCTGCTCACACCCTGGGTAGCCCCAGAGCGAGGTGGGGGGCCTCAGCCTGGGTGGAGGTGTGGTGTGGGTGGGGGAGCACGGCCTCACGGAGGCCCCCAGGGTGGGGCGGCGGCTCACCTGCCCTTGGTGTCAATGCAGCAGGGCCGGCCCTTGATCTGGCAGTCCACGTGCAGGAAGCCCGTGTGGTTGCTCCTGGACTGCTCCGTGCAGATCTGCAGGGCAGCACCCACGGCAGGGTGACGGTGCAGTGGGCTAGCACCCCAGCCTCTCCCCCTCCCCCAGACCACTGCCTGCCCAGGCACTCACCGGCCACTTGGTGATGTCATCTGGCCAGATGTGAGCACCGCTGGAGGCCGGCTCCTCGCAGGTTCTGGAGGCAGAGGTGAGAGGGGGCCAAGTGAGGGGCTGCAAACCCCGGCCTGCCACGCCCACCCGTCAGTGTCCCGGGGGGTGGCACAGACAACGTGATGAGATACCCGGCCCCATCCTGAGAGCCTGGGGTGGCCACTCTGGGGCCCACAGGCTGTACCTGGGGTCTTGGTGACACACGGCCCCCGACGTCCGCCTCTGGCCCTGGTCAGACTTGTCCATGGGGGGCCCGGTGTCACCTTGCCACTTGACGAAAGTGGCCAAAGTCTCCTGGAGAATGGAGGAGGGCTGGTCATGATGGGATAAGGTCACCCTGTCTAAGTGGGCAGGGGACTCCCCCCAGGACAGAGCTCAGGCCCAGCTCCCAGGCCCACCCCCATAGCTCCCTGACACCCCAGAGACCCCACTTTGCTTCTCTGGCTGGGGCAGGTCAGCCAGCCAGTGGGCAGCGGCACCCACGCCCTTCTGTGTTGGGCTGTAGCGGGTATGTGCAGGGCTGGGGAGGGCAGAGAGGAAGGGAGGAGGGGACGCAGTCACTGCCAGTGAACAGCCCCGACCCCAACAGGAGACGAGACTCCCTGAGAGCCGGCAATGTAAGGAGAGACAGTGCGCATGGGTGGGGCGGGGCACCGGGCATCCCAGGTGGGGAGAGGCATCCCGCCCGCACCGAGCAGTCCTTGTGCTGGGTCTGGATGCAGCCTGAGTGGTCGTTCTGGACGCAGCAGCCCGAGTCCCGCTCCAGGTCCCGCTCCCGCCGCACCAGCTGCTCGATCTGCTCGTCCCTCCGGATGCAGGGGGAGAACTTGGCGCCCAGGTGGATCAAGTCGATCTGGAGGAGGAGAGGGTGTGAGCAGGGCCCAGGCCATGAGAGTCTTCTCTGATGATGGCGGCCACGGGGCGGGCAGACCAGCGCCGTCACTGTGCAGGCAGAGGGGGTCCTGCTTGGCTGATGCCCCCGGCTGGGCCCTCACCGAGCTGGGGCCGATCCAGAAGTTCTCCTGCTGGATGTACTTGACGCTCTCGTACACACCTTTGTTCCTTAACACCTGGTACAGAGGCAAAGGGGGGAGAGGTGTGAGATGGCGAGGACCCCGGGCATCTGGGGGCCAAGAGGTGGGAGAAGGCAGCCTCGGAGCCGTCCAGTGAAGCCTCCCACCCCTGGGGGTGTCAGGGCAATGGGGGGCAGGCAGTTTTGCCATTTCAGATATCGCCCCCCGGGACCCAGCTAGGGCGAGTGGGGTAAAGCCTGAGCACCCTCGTGCTTAGCGGCTATGACGCAGAAGTGTCTGGGAAGGCCGGGACCCTGAGTCTGCAGCCCACTCACCAGCTGGGTGGTGACGTGCTGGGCGAAGCCCAGGGGTGCAATGCCATACGTGCAGATCACCAGCAGCATGATGATGACGTGGACAAAGGTCAGCCAGTAGGTGAAGTATGGCCTGCGAGTGGGGCCAGCTCACAAACAATCCTCTGTGTGGTCAAACCCTGCGAGGGCTCCCACTGCCCTGAGGACGGAGTCCAGACCTCCCGCCAGCCGCAGAGTCGAGCTGCACCTGGGTGCCCACCCTCCTCACCCAATTCCTGGAACACACCCACTTCCTCCAGCCCCGGGGACTTTGCTCGCCATTTCCCTTGCCCGGGAGGCTCTTCCTGCTTATCCCGCCTGCAGCCTTCCCGCCCGCTGTTCACCCTCTCTGTCCCCCTCCTCTGCAGGAGTCACCATACCTGTCACTACCCCACACCTGTCACTACCTGACAGTTTGTAATTTTGAGTCCAGTGTCTGTTGGATGGCTGCCCACCACACACTCCGAGAGTCACCTACACCCCAATCCCAATCCTCTGGCTTCCCCCAGGGTGTCTGCGCACGTCCTGACCTCTTTCTCGCGGTCACAGCTTCTAACTGTCCCTCGGGCCCACCCTGCCTCCCTGCCCCATCTGTTGCTCCCAGCACCTGCATGCAGTGGTGCTCAATGGGTGTTTGTTGACTGACTGCATCTGACAGCTGGGTGCTGGGTGCAGGCCCAGGGAAGCCAGGGGGCAGGCAGCAAGCCCCCGAGGACCTGTCCCAGGTGAGGGGTATGCTCCCTGAGGACAGCGCACTGTCATGCTGGTCTCGCCACCTGGCCCTCAGAGGTGCTCACAGGACACTGAATGAACTGGGGGGCTAGTGGCTCTCTATCCTTTTCCCTGACTACACCTGCGAGGGGCTCTCGAGGGCGGTGGCCACACCCTGCCTGGCGTGGAGTGGAGGCCCAGGACGTCGCCCCGCGTGCCCCCGCCGCTGCTCACCGGTGGCTGTCGAAGCTCTCCAGCTGCCGCTGCACAGTGCTGCTGATGCTGCGGCGGTAGCTGCGGTTCAGCCAGCTGCCCACCATGCCCAGGCCGTAGTGCCGCTTCTTCTGGTCGAAGGCAAAGTGCTTCACCTTGGAGGCAATGCGCTTGCCACGCCTGGCCGCCGGGACTGGTGCGCGGCTGCATTCCCTCCTGTTGGGATGGTGGCTATGGGTTCCAACGCCCTTCCCACACATCCTAGACTCCAGCAGACGGCTCGGGCAGGGGCGGGGGCCAGAGGGAGGCATGGGAAGCCCCCAGGCTGGGCCCCAGCTGGGATATGGAGTGAGGCAGGCAGGAGCCTGGGGCGGGGGCGGGCAGTGGGATGAGGACAGGTGTCTGCTGAGGACCCTAGAACCTTTACCTGCCCTGCCACCTTCCCCAACCTGGAGAAGGGACCCCCGCACTCACAGAGGGATCTGCACCCCATCAGCGGAGACCGGGGAGGCTGAACGCGGCATTGCTTGGAAGTAGCTGGCAGAGAGCGGGGGAGACTCAAACACATCATCAGGCATGGAGCTCATTTCTTCCTGGGGGCGCGGGAGGGGGCACAAAAAGAGACAATGTAAGGAGCCACCAACACCAAGCACTGCCCCTGACACCTCAACTTAAGGGCAGGACTTGGCCCAGGACAAGGCTGGAGAGACTGGCTCCCCAGAAGGGAGGTGGGAGCCACATGCCCATCAGCCGTGAGGGAGACTCGCCAGCTGGCATCTCACCTCACCCCAGATCCTCGCTTGGCCCGAGACAGAAAGAAGGGCCTGGTGTCTCCATGCAACAGCACTCCCCACTGCTGGGCCTCAGGATCTCTAAGGGGCACCAGGCTGATGGCAACTGAGGCCCAGGTCACCTCTCCCAGCTCCCAGGCCACCCAGCCCGTCCCCAAGGGCCCACACCCCATGCTTGCCTTACTAAAAAACGAGGAGTCGAACGTGTCTGCCCCATCGACCACGTCCTCGTCCAGGAAGCTGGGGTGGGCAAAGCTGCGCTTGACCAGCCGGCGCTGCTGTCCGGCAGCGTCCAGCACCGAGCGCCCCTGGCACAGGGCAGAGGCGTGGCGTCAGGACCCCGGCCCCTTCCAGCTGCCCCAGAGGCCCGGGACCCCGGCTTCAGGCCCTGCAGCCTCCTGACAGACACCCAAGGGGTCATCAAGCCCCATCCTCCTGGGGCAGCATGGTGAGTGGGGTGACCCTGCCCAAAGCAGGGGAGTCTGGAAACCAGGGAAGTAGGCCCGAGAGCTTCCTCGCCAGCCCTGAATGCATGACCCACCACAGCCTGGTGTATCTTCTCCGTGGTGAGCCCTTGCCCCTCTAGCTTGGGCAGCTGGTGCCCCACCACTTCAAGTAACCCCCAGGCTGCCCCTGGGTGTCCTACACCGTCACTCTCAGGCTCAGGTCATCCCCCATCCCAGGCCCCTCATCTCCTGCTATGCCCCCTGGAGCCACCTCTCCCTCAAACCACACCAAACCTCCACCTATTGCCCGTAAAGCACCACACTCCCTCCTCCTCCAGGCCTTTACACATGCTGTTCCCTCTGCTCAGAATGCTGTTCCCTCCCTTCCTTTCCTGGTGAACTTTTTCTTATTTTTCTGGGTTCAGGGATGGGGAGTTCCTTCTCTGGGCAGATGCCAGCCCTCACACACTGCCCCGGGGCTAGGAGCTCGTCCTGAGCAGCTCATTTAACTCTGCAGCCCAGCATCCAGCACATAGTAGGTGCTCAGTAAACACAGGTGGAGGAGCGGTGAGTGTGTGCTTTACCTACTTCCCAGCTTATGTGTCGCTGCAGACGCCAGCTTCCAAAATTAGAGGTTGCAGGGGCTCAGGAGGAAACTGGGACTAGTAGATGAGGGCCTGGCTGTGGGCTTCACTGCCCACCCCTGCCCGGAATCCCAGCACAACCCTGCCCTTGGGGAAGAGGAGGGACGAGGGAGGCTGGGCAAGGGGAGACCGCTCACCTTGAGGAAGGCGGCGGCAGCTTGAAAGCTCATGTGAGCCACAGATATCCTCTTGCGGCGGGGCAGGTGGGAATAGCCAGAGCGGATGCTGGTGAAGGAGGTGAGGGACAGGACGCCCGGGGTCAGCGGGGGGTGCGGGGCGTGGGGCCGGTCCACCTCGTCGGGGTGGCGGAAGGCCCGGCCCCGGGCCAACGGGTCGACGATCTGGAAGGGATGGAGGCAGTGAGCGGGGCCCATTTGGCCCCTGGGCGAGGCTGCCTGCCGTGCCTCCAGCCCCCAGGGTGGTCTACCTTGGGCATCTTGCAGGGTTTGGGGGACTCGATGCCCTGGAAGGAAGGCACCTCCTGGCTGGGCAGCTCCAGGTCGCGCTGGCAGGAGGCCTTCAGCTTGCCGTAGCGCACGCTGCAGTGGTGCAGGCTCTTACGCTGCCAGTTCTGCCGCTTCCCTTCCCAGTCGCCGCTGACCCCAAACCACTGGGCCGTGCCCCTGCGGAGCAGACAGAGAGCGTGTGTGGGTGCATGTGCACACCTGTGCACCTGCAGAGGCAACCATGCATGTGACAGTGTCCCCATGTGCATGTAGGAAGTGACATGTGACACGCGTGTGTCCCGGTGTGCACCCAGAGGAATGCCATGGGAGTGTGATAATGCTCAGGTGTCCTCGTGTGCAAGCAGGAAGTGACGTCAGTGATAATCCTGTGTCCTTGTGTGTGTGCAGGGGAGTGTCACGTGATACGCATGTGCCCTTGTGTGCACAGAGGAGTGACACGTGTGTGCATACAGGGCAGTGGGAGGAGCAGCTCAGCCTCCCCTCGAACCCTCAGGCTCAGAACCCAATGACCGAGTGAGCAGAGGTAGAGTGAAGTCCAGAGTGTCAGGGCCAGGCCAGGGGGCCCCTGGGAGTCACTCTGAGCAGCAATGGTCCACCCCCAGGTCCTTCTCAGCCTCCACCCTGTGACTTTCTGCAGGCACATATCCCCCCAAGCCTCGGTTTCCCTCCTAGAGCATGGTAACAGCTTCTCAAGCTCGCCTCCCGCCTGCTTCCCCAGGAAAGGGCGCCACGAGTCTACAGGGCTGCTTGCGGGGCCAGTGGGCAGGTGGGCGGGGGCTCACTTGCGGATGCTGTGGGACAGGGAGGCCTGGCGGCGGAAGCCAGGGCGCTTCTCGGCGCTGCCCTCTGGCCATCGTCCCCGTGGCTCCTGCAGGCTGACGCTCTTCAAGTAGGCAGGAATCTTAGGCCTCTGCGGGCAGGCGGGAGGGAGGTCAGGGCAGCGGTCATGCAGGGCTGTGACCCTGGGCCAGCTCCCCTTTGGCCTCCCAACATGAACACAACCCCAGCGGACACCCCCTGAGATGCTTTCATTTCAAACATAAAACCACCAGTTCTGACGTCTTCGGGCCAGGCCTGGCGTGCGTTCCCTAACCCTCGCCTGGTGATCTTACCCCAAGACGTCCTCTCCTGGTTTTACATGTTCTAAAGAGTTTTTGGGGTGAGTGGGTGGCCCAACACAGCTGCCCTTTATGTCCCAGGCCGCACGGGAAGCCGACGCGGTTTAGGGCCTGTGCTCAATGATGGGGCCTATGCTCAGTGATGGGGCCTGTGCTCAGTGATGGGGCCTGTGCTCAGTGATGGGGCCTGTGCTCGATGATGGGGCCTGTGCTCAGTGATGGGACCTGTGTTCAACGATGGGGCCTGTGCTCAGTGATGGGGCCTGTGCTCGGTGATGGGGCCTGTGCTCAGTGATGGGACCTGTGCTCAGTGATGGGGCCTGTGCTCAGT